CCAGGTGTGACCCCACAGCATCCCGGTCACCTCGGGTGTGACCCTCAACGTCCCCCCAGTCCTCCCTCCCGCGGTGTCACCCCCTCCCCGGTGACACCCAGCCGTTCAGGGGGTCCCACGCACCCTGCGCGACCCCCGCCCCCGTGTCCCCGTGTCCCCGTGTCCCCGTGTCCCCTCACCTGTCTCGCAGCGCGGCCCCAGGTAGCCGGTGCCGCGACAGTCGCACACGAAGCGGTTCCAACCCTCTCGACACGTCCCCCCGTTCCGGCACGGACCGCTGGCGCACAACCGGGGGGGCTCCCGCGCACACAGCGGGGTGACCCCCGGCGCCCCCCCGGAGCCCCCGGCCCCTAAAAGCGCCCGCACGTCGCGGCTCCGCCCGTCCACGAACAGATCCCGCACGCAGCCCACGAAGCCGAGGCGCAGCCCCGCTGCCCAGAGCTCGGGGGGCGCGGGGGGACCGGGCCGACCCTCGGGGAGCCCCCCCAGGTACAGCTCGGCGCCCACGTCCAGGATGTCGCGGTCACCGCTGGCCAGGAACGGGGTGCTGCGGCTGTTGACGGACACCGAGCCTGGGGAGGGGGCACGGGGGGCGTCAATGGGGCGATATTGGGGGGCGATATTGGGGAGCGATATTGGGGTCGATATTGGGGTACGGGAGGGTACTCTGGGGGTCACGGACACCGAGTGTGGGGGGACGGGGGGCTTCAGGGGGGCGACAAAAGGGGGGATAATGGGAACACCCTGCCCCAGAACCCCCTGTACACCTGTGAACCGCACCTGTACAGCCCTTGCACACCTGTACAGCCCCTGCACACCTGTACAGCCCCTGCACACCTGTACAACCCCCGTGCACCTGTGAACCGCACACTTCCAAACCCTCTGCACCCCCTTGCACACTTGTGGATTGTACCTGTACAGCCTTTTCACACCTGTCACCCCTCTGTGCACCCCCTCGCATACCTGTCACCCCTCTCTGCACCCCTTGCACACCTGCACACCCCTTGCACACCTGCCCACCCCCTCCCCGCCCACCTCC